GGGATGGGGTGGGAGGCGTATCCAATAAATCTCTCTTTCTTCGGGGTGCCAATTCGAATTGAACGCCTGTACATTGATGACCCGGAGAAGAAGAAGACCTATCTTACTGTTCTGCCCGCCGGTCTTAATGGGAATTATGTGGCATCAGAGTTCCTATATCTCACCATGGAGTTGAATGAGGAGGGCAAAAGCCCGGGCTGGGCAGAAAAGATACTGGGCCTTCCGTTCCATTTCTCCGGCGCTCTTTGCAGTACGTACTGCGTTGACATAGTCGATGCTCATTTCGAGGAGGTCGAAGACGAATCTGTCATTGGAACCGGTCTTCGGTTCGAGATGAGAGGCGTTATCGCTGCAGTTGACGAAGGCAAGATATCCGTCAAGCTAGACTGGCAAGATCCGCGACTCTTGGAGGATGAAGGAAATCGCGAAACCATGCACATGACTCTGCATGAAGGTGTTGAAGCACCGGTGGTTGGAGGAAAGTACCTGATCAAAGGTATTCCTCCACCGCTAGGTTTTGGTTGTAGTAAGTGGGGACCTACATTCGATTGGAAACACGGCAGGCTACCGGATGGGGTTTGGAAGGCTTTCGCGTTTGATCGCATTACCGAGTAAACTATCATCATCACATGCTTTCCACGGTGTTCTCCAAGGATGTGTTAAAGCCAAGGTTTCTTCTCATCAGGTAAACCAACAATGTATCGCCTGGAATGCGACTAGTGATAACAAGAGTACCATTGAAGACTTTTCAGCCCGTTCAAGAGTTGGTCTGATATCTCTTAGTCTTGGTTGACCTCATCAGCGTGAGCGATTGGTAGTCAAGGTTTGGGTGACGCTATTGACGCTATCTCTTCTAGTCCACGTTTCGCAGGTATAATCTCAGATCTCCTGGCATCGGTTGATCGTTCGCTACTTCTACACAAATGTCCCTTACTCCCACCAAGTCAAGGTACGTCGCTGCGCAAAAGTACCTGCTCGTTAAGATCTAAGGGCTAAAATAGTTTGGCAGCTGCCTTGCGATACAACTCTATCTCTTCACACTACCTCTTCTATGGTGTCGGCTCATCACTTGCCAAAGTAGCCAAAGATGACACAGCGCATCGAAGTTTGCCGCGTCATGAGATCTTTTCTGGAACCACGCAAGCAAGTTCGGTCACTTCAGAGAGATCCCTACACCTATCCTCAGAGAGCATATAACTTCCGCCCTACGGAACAGAATAGGCGGAAGGTACCTGAGAACAAAGACCCGTACCGCTTCAACTTTGGCGAATGGCGCGGCTTCAGCATCGACGAGCTCACCTATAGCGATTGTAAAGGGCTGGTCCACAAGAGGTTCTTAGCAGACTTTGTCTTCGACAAGGACTTTGATCTGGCAAAGCGAAGCGACCTCGTCACGGTGTTTCGATCCTTAGCCGACTTTTACTACGACGAGCGCTGGGAGGTTGGGAAAGAGATCTCTAATCTGGGATTCACACGCACAGACAGATATAGCCTACATTTCTGGGAATCTCCGCTGAGTGGAAACGCAAGAGTGCATCTGTCATGTGACGAGACGCAGTACGATCAGTTCATACACGTTATTCATCCTTCGCCAAAGTCTTGGACCAGAAGGCAGCATGTTTCTTTCAGGGGAGGCAAAGAGATACCGGACGTTACTCCTAGCCCGGCCAGCTTCAGCGAAACGGTGTTCTGTAACCTTGACGCGATGCAAAAGGAAGAACTGGCGCGGTTTCCGGTGCACATCTCCTTCCATGGTATGCCTGTTAGACTGGAACGTTTGTTTCTCGACGAGCCAGACAAGAAAGCGACATACCTTACTATAGCGCCTCTTGGCTTCCAAGGTAGCACAGACAGCGTTGATAGGTACTTTTACCTTACTATGCGTTTCAACGATGCGGGCCGAGAACTAGACTGGTCAGAGAAACTTCTCGGTCTACCCTTCCGCTTCGTGGGAGCCTACGTCAACAGCAAAACAGAGGATCTTGCCTGCGCGCATTTTGAGCCAATTCAAGCGAGCGATATCGAGGGCGGGTTTCGTTTCGAGATCCGCGGGACGGCGTTGTTACTCGAAAAATATTGCATCGCGCGCGTTGCGCTGGATTGGGGCAATGATGCAATGTGTGTGGATCATGGATCAATCGGGTCCCTTCTCCTGACATATTCAGACGACGAAGTAGAACTTCGGGAGGGTCAGCATCACCTTCGTGCCGTCATCACGCTACGCGACAATCAAAAGTTCAGGTGGAGAGAGGAGCTTCTCAAGGATGCGGTATGGAGATGCTGTGCCTTCGAACGCAGGAGTACTTCGTTAGATAACCAATTTCTCGATTACGTTGAGCATAAGGGTTATTGAAAAAGACACCTACATTCCAAACTACATCCTACCCTCTATCCTCCCTGCCATCCAACCAGCTCGTACAATTCACACACCTCTTAGCCTTCTCACTGATATACTTTCTGCAAAACCGGCACTTGACCTGCTTCTTGACGATGTTATCCCCGCTGCCCCTCGAATACGCCAGCGCCACCACCCAAAGCGCCAACGCAACAACCAGGAACCTGACAATCTTGTCCAGGAACTCGCCGTAAGCTAGCACCACAGCTCCATCGTCAACAGCCTGCTTAGGGGTGTTGTAGCCATTGGAGATTGTGGTGTTATAGTTGGGTCCAGATTGTAGGATCGCGAATTTGGCGTCGAGGTTGCGGGAGAGGAAGGGGAGGAGCGAGATTATGGGGAGGATGATGGATGAGACGAGGGAGTTTGCGACGGCGGTGAAGGAGGCTGCGAGGCTGGGTTGCGAGTAAGTATGGGTTATTTACGTGTATTTTGTTATAGAAATGTACATACATCAGTCCGACGGCTACTTCGAGCACGTTGTCGCGTAGGGCGAAGTTGCTGAAGCTGTCCCAGGCACTGGCGGTTCGCCTTCGGATCCCCTGTTCTGCATCGCGGAGGGTTTGGTGCGTGTTTTCATCTAAGCGCGGCATGATGGTACTATAGGGTGTTGAGATGATAGGGTAGGATGTCACGATGTGTAAGGATGTGATGCATTGGTCGTGAAAGCTGGAGTCGCGTCTCAGGTGACGACGTCATTCCGGCCGACGCGTAGTGCGCGTAACCTTGGAAGATCTGCACTAATCACGCGCATGAGGATTGCTTGTACGAGTACACCTACTAGTCACATTGGCATGTTGGAAGCATGCAATTGCCATCGGATATGTTCATCAATGCTCACTGCAATGAACATCCACCCTTCGTTCAACGTGGCGATGTGATCGTCTCCAGTGACCATCTCCACTCCAACGCCTCCCGAAACTCAGTCTACTCCACGCGTAAGCTTCCCCAGGCTGTGGTCCACTTAGCGAGACGCCAGATGGATCGGCTTTCCTTATTATCATTGCCCTGCGTCGCAGACAGCCAGGCGGCTGCAGCGCTGCGCACGACATATCCAGATCCTCCGACATGACGACTTCTTGCGGATCATGCCATGCACACGGCGAACACCACATCCTTCACGATCTCGATCGCGAACAGGCGTAGCACACCCAACCTCACATTTATCTTATCCAGCCACCAATCCGCGCCGTGGGTCTCCGAATGCCGACCCCACAGAGTCGGCCCTTCTACACAGGAAGCCACTCTGCTCCCGAAGACAGGCCACATGCCCAACCCACACCCCACCCCACCATCGTAACGAGGAAACCACCAAAAAAGATTTAGACCCCGCCTGTCGCAATCACAATCACGCCAGGCAGCCTCATGATTCAGTACCATCGTCAACTATGCCGACCCCGGATCAAAGCCCTCCGCCGCCTATCTCGCGCCGCGTGACCCTTTGCGGCACGCCATAGTAAGATCGCCGTCCTATCTGTAAGGGTCAAAAGGGTACATCATCCCAAACGCAGGGTCTTGTCATCCGAAGCGGATGGAAAAGCGTGGACATGACAAGTGGTCACGATATATCAGGTCATGTTACAGCAACTTTGGGAAAGGTAAGCTGTGTACATGTGTAGATCTCTTCGCGTAAAGTACACCGAAAAGAGATGCGCGGTGCAAAATACCCTTTTCCTGCGATAATGTCGGCACGCTGCGCTTCGTGAATGGATGAAGTGAGGGGTAAACAATCCGAAAATGTGGTTGGTGAAGCTGATGGATATATGCCGGTAGATGTTTCTTGGGCACACTTTCTCATGCAACATGCGCAGTGCACAAGGCTGCATGCAAGATACAGAACAAAGCGGTATGGCTAGTCCTTGTTGGAGTAATGGCAGACGAAAATCACGACTTGGTCTGCTGCAGGCAATCGTGAGGCTGAACGGAAGACGAGGAAGAAAAAAAATTGAGTTGGCTGGTAAGATAAGATTATCTTCGCCTCTGTAGCGGTGGTGCCGGGAGACCCGATTATTCTTGCTGTGACAGTCGCCGCGGAGGTTTTTCGGATGGTTTAGGGTTGGAGCGGTAAGCGCGCGAAAGAGGGATGTTCGCTGCTGGCGTGTGGAGGGGTAATTTGGGCGCTGTTGGTGGTTTTTCGCTATCGTGGGTTATGCGGCGTGAGGTCACGGTACTGCACGCTTGTCTCTTAGTCTGCAGTAGTCGCGTTTTCGGGTGGGGGATGGTTGCGTGTGCTCGACTCAGTATACCGCCGACGGAGGTTGTCAATGGAAGGGGTTGGCCCGTTGCGTTTGATGAGGTCGTCATAGCAATATCACCGAGCCAAGTGCGAAGGAGGGGATGAAGCTTGAAGGTATTGTGAAGTGGAATTTGTTTGTTGTTCGATCGCTATCATGCTACCGCGGCACGCAATGCAGTACAGTATGTGTAAATGCTCAGTAAAACACCGCCCAATGCGTGGAACCATATAAATGCAAGCCCGTGGTATACCAAAAACGCCTTTCCAATGCTGTGTGTAAAGTCAAAAAGCCACCAACGCCGCGCAATGCTGTGTATCCAACCCCTCCCCCATGATGCACCCTTTTCTCTATCCCGCCGTGCTACCGTGCTACAAGATCGACTCCCCCGTTACCGAGTCGACTCGTGCTCTTGATTTTGATCGGGTCGATGACCTCCGGCGTTCCGCGCCGTCCTTGGGCTTCCTAGTCTTTGCGCGACGTAGCGCAGGAACATCCTCCTCTTCAGATTCGTCTACAGTGAACAGGTCCGGGCTGGGTTCTCTCCACGAGTGGCGATGACCCGATAGTGTGCGCGAGTACCGGCGACGGTTTTGCTGTTTGCGGGTTGCGAGATCCTGTGCACGGCCTCGTGATGGTTCAGTGATTCTGATCCGTGGAGGGCTGAGCTGAGACACAACTTGTGGCGTGTCGTTCAATCGGTCGTCATCCAGCCCCATGAAAGACTCCTCCTCGTCCTCTTCGTAAATGATAGGTGCGTGGTACTGAGTGTGAAGCTGGCTGTGGTTGTGCTTGACATAGCGGGTCCACTTGTTGGCGAGGTTGGACTTGAACTTGGAGGACTTGGTGGTGCGCGGTCCTTCCTGGACGTCGATGCCTGCGCTCAGGGACAGCTCGTACGGGTCGTCAGCCTCGGTGATGGGTGGTGAGATGAAGTGCGAGAAGGGGTCTTCGTCGATGTCCGGAAGATCGTTTTCATTAGTGTCGTCGTTGCCAGTCTCAACCCATGGTGGGAAGGAGTAGGCGCGAGGGGTGCTTCGTAGATAGGAAGGCATTATTAAGAGGAAGTCCTTGAATTTTCGAAGGAGCGATGAACGTCGAACAGGTAGTGATGGCTTAGCGCTTGATTCAACCTTGACAAAGGCGATGTGACCGAGAATGGTGTTCGTTCCCCCGGCTCCTGGCCGGTCCTTCCTGAAACAGCAGCTCGCGAACGCTCGGTGAAGAGAGTTCACAAGTGGTGCTGGTAGGAGATTTTGGTAGTAGGTTCGCCAGTGGTGAGCGGCGCACGCAAGCTATATATGCGTGACTTTGGGGTAGGCTTCTGGGAGTGTCACGAGTGGGCGGCGTGGGAGAGGCGACGAATATGAGACAATGCGAGTGCTGCCTGGGAAGTGTTTGCCTGGGAGAGGGCAATGCAAGAAGCGACAGTTAGTCGGAACCGTGGTTTATCCTCCGCGAGATGTCTGGTACGGGATGCATATTCTGGAGGATTCCTTGGGTACTTATGTTGACAGGCGAGCGAAGCAGCCGGAAGAGGTGCCCTGCATGTGCAGTGCATGCGCATTAGCGTGCGGTGTGGATGAGAAGCTTAGTGCAGCGTGAGCAGAATAGGTAAGGATCCCAGGGCGCAAAGGAATGGGTGACAGGCAGAGTGATGGCGGGCGGGCCACATGAGATGGTTGGCGGCACACCATCTCGGTGTAGGATGACCTGCAGGCTGCACGCGCGCATTGGCCACTAGGTGTTGCGGACTCGACGGCCGTTAATGCAGGACTGACGATCCATGGAGTGCCGCTAGATATCAAACTATGGCCAGAGACTGAACAGCGCGATCGTGCAAATTGCAGCGAGCCGTCACGACGACTGGCGACACTAGGCGTCGAGGGTGGAGCCAAAGGCCCGAAGACACTACGCAGTCACGATACAGCGCTAGCGGCGGGGCAGATCACACCAGCATACCATCACAACCTCTCTGTTCCCACTCAGCCTCATTTCAGGCTTGCCTCTTTTGGTCCATCATACACCCTCTTCTGCTCACACGCCGCTCGCTCGCGTCGCTGAGAGGCCACGACTGAACTGCTTAGAGTCCCGCTACATCCGCCCTGCCACGCTCGTCGTGGGCATGACGAGGCTGCTTGCGTGAACCTTTGTTCTGTGCCTGCAGCCGACGCTCGACTACACCGAACCCGGTGGCGTTCCTCCAGAAATGTTTCATCAAAAGGTCATGGATAGGGTTTCAGCTCCGTGGATGATTCAGCTGATGCGGCTCCAATACACCACACTGACAAACTACATTAACTTTGGATCACCGTGACAATTGCCACTATTGAAGCCTGGCACCGTGGTCTGCCTACACGGAGTCTTACCCGTATCATTCGACAGCCTGGGATAACGCGGCATCTGCTCTCGGCTCCACTATCCAGTTCTCCATTATTTTGAGATTTCTACTGTTTTCCCAGATTCCTCCTTACAACCGCGATACGGCCCGATTTTGCTTGGGCTCTACAAGAGATGGAATGACGTAGTTTCGCATACACACGACCCTCCTGTTGGGCTTTGTAATGTTACAGTCACCGTTTTCTGACGTTGCGGTCAACGTCGACGATAGTCGGATACTGTAGACGTGGGTAACGCGGTTCCCGGGCGCCAATTTGGGCTTGCGCCTCAATATCTGACTAAGAACTCTATCTCGCCCACCGCAGTGTCACCTGAACCCTGATGCCGCCTGACGAGTCGGAGTCGCCTGCATTCTTGAATTTCAATGCGTCCCGCTCGCTAATGCTAGCAGACGAAGTCTTGGGAGCTCACGTTCAGCTCTCGACACGAAATTTTGTGCGCCTCATGGCTGTTCATGTTCCAAATGATGTTCGGCGTGCACGAGTTTGTCGCGGCTGGGTATTCAAGAACACTACCTTGTTGGGTGGCTAGGGGCAGCTGTGACAATCTCGGCTCCTCTTTCCAGATGCTACTACAAGTCGCTTACGCCATTAATGAACTGCATTCGACACGGGATTGGACGCTTCTACAGTTTCTCTCCTAATGCGAACCAAACAACGTTTGCGAATAGAAGCTCATCGTCTACGTTCGAAGCGTGTAGTCTTCCCTGGCATGCTGGCTTCCATGCGACCTAGCCTCCGTTATTCGCAGCGCTTTCTCCCTTGACTGCACACGTCTTGCCAGATCTGGTGGACTACACAGCATGCCCTAGCGGCGCTCTCTACACAATTTGCTTTTTATTTCCAATCATTGGGTCATTAGTATACACAAATCGACCGATGCAGTGGCACGCGTACCGTGATCTACCACTCACCGCTGGGACAACCCCAGCAAGACTAGATTTCTTCACAACCGACGTCTACATCCTCGCAGAGTCCGTCCCTCAACGTCCTTCACGATGCATCTCCAGAGCCATTCACCGCCCTACACCGCCCTTTCCGCCATGCCTTCCGCGATACGATCTACGAGGCGCGAGCGCCCGGGAGCTAAAGTCGCTCGCTAGCCTACAAAATTCCCAGCAGGGATTCCCCAAACCGCCAACCTGCATTTGTACCAAGAAAGAAACACCATACCTGTGGGTCTACGACAACTCGGACGCTTTTGTTCCAGGTTTCTTGAAACACATATCGGACCAGCGTCGGTCCACCTCGGACTTTTTATGACGCGCGCCTACAGTTACGGGCTCGAGTTTCGGCGAGGCGACGAAAAGTTCGAAAGAGATGATCATTGGCCGCCTGCCTCGTTTCGATTCCGTCTCCGTTCGTACATACGAGGCGCTCACCGCTGGTGTTCCTGCACCAAAGCCCGACACACCGTGCCGATAGCGACTTACATAGTGTTGAATGCCGGCATTTGTACCAGCGCTGACAGATTTCCAGTCGCCTTGACTGGATGCCGACGCCGGTGCCAGGGATCCTGTCTGTGGGGTGCATGGTTGAGATGAGCCCCGCCGTCTCTTCGAATTCTGCAACACCACGGACTCTGATCCGACTAATCGCCCCTCTCGATCCGAGATCTAGTTGAGATGCGCGCGCGTACTGTCTGCCCCTATCCTCGCGCCCAATGCATGTTCTTGGTACAACGAGGCTCTCACCGACTACGTCACTTCCTTTACCGTCTATGTTTGGGTATACTCTTCTCCGCGGGTCAATGCGATAGTAAGCGCTTCTGAGAAAGACTTCATCAAAATTACCCCGCTCCTTCCACACGGAAAAAAATTATGGTGGACGCGTGTTCCGCGTGACACCATCGACATGGTGCGGGAATGCCGAGCCTGCAAGTAGTCAATCAGCTGCAATGGCAGAACAAACGTGAGGGCTGCAACAACCAGAGGAGAAAAGAAAAAAGAAAAGAAGATTAAGCTTCGACCTAAACGCTTCGTCGTAACATCTCGGAATCAGCACTTGCGCGTATGCCCATGCCCATTACCCCAGCTACGTCACCTGGTACACGCGTTGCACTCACGATCGTCGCGTTAAAACTCTTGTCTCTTTATTCTTTGCTCTTCGTACCCAATCACAAAAGTGCACGCAGACCCCCTCGTTCAAGAAACGCCGTTCCAAACGCCGCGATCAATGGGTATAGTACATGCTAAGATCCGATGCCAATCTCATATCCAAGCATCACCTCTGTTGATGCTCCCTCCCAGCCCCGATTTCCGCCCGTTGAGATCATGAAGTTGCAAGTCGGGTCGAGGTATAGTTGCGATATGACGCCGGTGCGGTGTCCGGGGACAATAAAGAATGGTGTAGCGGCCGCGCCGGCTTTCGGTCCCGCGTCGTTGTGGGCGAGGTCGTAGAGACGGAGGATGTCGTATGATGCGCTGGTACATGTTAGTGCTTGTCTCACGTCACGTCACGTATGTATGTGTGCGCGTGTGAGGGGGAGGTGAGCTTACCAAATGAGATGTCGCCCATTGGGCATAGCTCGAACTGCGCTCACTGCACCACTGACGCTGGGGAACCGGAATGTGCGTCGCGGCTCTCGTAGACTCTTGTGTAGACTGTACTCATCCACTGTGCCGTTTCGCCGGCCAGCGTAGATGAAGTTGCCGTCTGGTGACCAGCATGCGTTCATGCACCATGGTGGTGTGTTTCGCGGGGGTGTGATGCGTGCGACAGGGTTCGGTTGCCGGCGGTCCCAGATACGCAATGTGCCGTCCATTGACGCGTCCATGAAAGTCGTTTCAGATGAAGCAGGCTGCTCGGTCTGGTTTGCGGAAGTAGTCGTAGACTGTTCGAGATCCTCTGCATGGGGCAGGCCGTTGAAAGTGCCATTGAGCTGCGCATCTGTAGTTCCATTCGCTGCTGGTTGGTTCTCAGCATCTACTGGGGGTTCCTTCGCTTGTTCCGCAGCTGGCTCCTCGGGTGCTTGTACAGGACCGCCCATGTCCATCATGTCCATGTCAGCATTGGCGTCGTCGTCCGCTTGTTGTATGCCGTTCGCGATGGCTCTGGAGAACTCGTCCTCGTCGTCGTCACCACCGAACGAAGGAAGAGTGGCCGAGAGGTTGTTTTCCTGGCCGTCGCCGAACAAAGAGTCCTGGTCCTTGTCTCCAAACAGCGAGTCGTCTGGAGATCCCTGAGCATCCTCAGTACCTTCTTCCTTGGGTATCACGGGCTTTATATCGGCGCCGTTCGCGAGGGCGCCGTTGGTTCGAGGTCGGGCGGAGTTGTTGGAGGAGAAGGTGCCGTTCGAGGTAGGAAGGGTTTCGGTATCCTGAGGTATAGGTAAGGTAGACATCGGACGTTGCTCGATTGCGGATATCTGTCCACCGCTCGTCTCGAACTTCCGTTTAACGCTTCCAGTGTTCAAGTCCCAGTCATTGATAGTCTTGTCCCAACTACCACTCAATACCGACGTCTCGTCCTGCGACAGTGTCAAGACCGACACGGCTGAGGTATGGTTCTTGAGTGTGTGTATCCGCGTTCCTTCCTGATGGCGCACCGACTGCAGGTTTATGCCTCCCGAGTCCAGACCCGACAAGAGCCATAGCGCTTGGTGGTGTACTGCGAGCGAGTATACAGGAGATAAGCTCTCGGCTGCAGCACTGTCCTCATTCTCCCAGTATGAGAGAAGCACGCCCGCCTTGGTGACCGAGTCAACGAAAGGGTGTCGCTGGGCCACGGTCAGGGCGAGCTTTCCGTTGGCCGTGTCTACCCAATTGAACTTTCGTATATAGCCGTCCGCGCCTCCGCTGAAAACCCATCGCATATCTGGTGTAGCGGTAATGGCATTGATTGAGGTGCTATGCGGTGCGGCGATGGTGGGTATGATGTCGTATATGGGCGCATTCAGGGCCTCCTGTCGCACGCTGGGGTGGAAGGGCAGGTTTCCAAGCACGCCCGAAGCCGCTGCACGAGGGCTGGGTGATGTGAGGGTGACAGATGGATTGCCGTCTGCTTGTCCAGCTGTACCGCCATTGGATATGCTGTTGCGCGGTCGCTGCGAAGGGCTGTCGGGCTCGTCCTGGTCCTGATCTTGATCTTGGTCTTCATCGTCGTTGTCGTTGTCGCCTTCTGCATCGTCGTCGTCATTATCGCCGTCATCTGCATCGTCGCCCTCTTCCTCTTCATCTACATCCATGGCATCATTCTCCTCCTGCTCATCTTCCTCCTCGGCGGAGCCTGTTGCGCGCGGTCAGCTGGCAGCTCCTCCGAGCGTCGTGGGGATATTTACTGGCGCCATTCTCGTAGTCGTCCTCCTCATTCATACTGTCTCCATGAGCATGGGCTAACTAGCACGTGCTCAGCGGATGCACTGCTACGTCGCGTCGAGTGGATGCGCCGATGTTCGCGTTGGGGAACATGGATGAGGCTCGGCCTCGCGTCATTCTCCCGAACGGCACCATTCTCGTTTAGGACTAGATCCACTTCCTCGCCCTCCAGGGCTCTTTCCTTGGAATCATCTACACAAACACCACCTGGGCAATCTTAACGAAACTCACACATGACTCGAATTCATATCCAGGTGCGCTACGGTAGTACGTGGATCTTATTCCATCTATCTGCAAAGACGGCGATCTGACGCTTTCAGGAGTTGATGCACGAAGAACCCTATTAAACACTCACTCAACTACACAGCTCATGACAACAAACAGCATAACAATCTTCTAGCTCTGCCCTGCATAGCAGCCAACTGTGTGCCGTTTACATTACAGCAGACGCCCATTTGATTCGCCTTGACTGGGCCTCTTTTGAAGCTGCAGAAGTTGAGCGCCACGGGTCTGGACCGCGTGATGTATTGTCTTCGCTCGGCACTTCTAGCATAAAAGCTATTCCTTACCTTTGCTGGTCTTAATTTGCAAATAGTTAGCATATCAGATGCGCCGATTTAGGCGGCTTTCGTCCATCTATCTTTTGCTCTTTGCCATTGCGAGAGCCCTCTCCCGGTATGTAGAGCATCCAAGAGTCCTTGAAATACTTCACCTCTTACTGTTCCTACTCTTGCCTAAGCCAACAGCTAGAGGCTTTTGCGATTCAGCCTTCCTTGAGATATTCGCGTCACGTAAGCTAATTATGAATTGAGTGTGGAAGATCGCAGCCATCAGCTCCTCAGCCTTGTTGCCCGCAGCCTTTATCTTGTCTAACATCCGGCCCCCGCATATAATATGCGTCTGGAAGAATACCCGACCTATGGAATTGCTTGTGGCTTTCTTGTGGCTTTCTCTACTGCCTCTTGATAGGGTTTTCATGTCAAAGTCTTATCGTCGGCGCAGACAGCCTGCGTCTTCAGCCTTGTTAGTTATGGTATTTCCTTGCGCTCCGCCGCCCTTTCTATTTCCTTCTCTATTCACAGCCTACAGAAAGCGATAGAAGACACCAAGATGTTGATTGACCAGCCATTGTCCGCCTCCAAAGATGGCACGAATGTTCACGGGAGCGCCGTAGAATCTACGCAACTAATCAACGAACGCAGATATCAACCCATTGAAAAAGCCAAAATCGCCCTGAAACGCGGGTTTCCCCGGCTCGAATTTACGGTCCACGCTGCATCGCTCACCATCATCGGCGCTCTTCTATGGGTGCACGTCAGTGAGACCTTTTGGAGGGACTTCGAGGTCAAGAAGCAGCGGCGGCAAAACATGGAGCTCAAAGCATGGCAGTTCGCCGCCAAGGTCCACGAGTTGCTGATGCTAGCATCATTGTCTTTCGTTGTTTTTTATTACATGCGAAAACTGCTGGTTCGACGTCAAGGTATTCCCTTCGGACTTGTCAGCGCACCTTACCTCACAAGTTCGCCTGGAATGCTGTTCAGACGGTCATTTTGGGTAGGGTGGGGGTACCATTTGCCATTCGGAGGCTTGCTATTCCTCACCTGTATCCTATCCTTTGCTCTAGGACCATCTTCCGCCATCACCATGATTCCTTCGCTTGGTGGGTACGAGATGAAGAACCCATTTTGGGCCGACAGCTCGACTGTTCTCTACAACGCCACGGCAAAAAATATCTGGCCAACAGTCTTCACTCAAGCGATGAGCTTGAATGCGACTGAGGTTGCTGAATGCCTCATTAATCCCTTCGACCTATCGAATCTACAATGCCCGACAGCAGGGTTCTTGGATGTCTTGAAATGGGTATGTAGCTCCGATTTCTATTAAACACAATGCGCAAAGAGCTAATGTCGACCAGTTCGTCGGTTTAACCCAGAGTGGATCACGCAATGAACTACTCTTCACGGACCTTTATAGCAGCGTCCAACGTAAGGTTGCCATCAAGACCGACCATGACAGCCAAGGCGTCTCTTTGTACGCTACCGTTCTTACAGAGCTGGCTTCAAGGACACTCGGCAGTTTTTACAGTTACGCAAGGCGCAAAAACGCTGGTGGCACTAGCGATGTCGCATACCCCCAATTACGTATCGCAGCAGATACTCCACTCCTCCAACCTATCATCTTTGTGAGGTGTAGTATGTCTGTTTGGCACGGAGACTCGAACCGAGAGAATATCTCTTTTCCCAGCGTTGAAGGAGCATGGGGGCAGGACCCCTTGTATCCCCAAGTACCCGGTCCCTATCTAGACGCTGACAACGAGATCTTCGATGGACTCCCGGATGAACACCCCCGGTTCTCGTGGTACAAGGACAATGACGCCAATGCATCGTCATCACTGCTTGCGTTGGCAATCGTACCCGCTGTAGCTTTCAACGCTACGGGCGATTTTTGGTCCTCGGCTATCGTGGCCTGCTCAGCAGATGCACGCTGGGCAGCCAGCGATGCGTATTATCAGCCTCTGAACTCGAGTACGGTTTCCAGCAATGTCTCCGATATAATCCTTGAAACCGACTTGCAACATGGTCAATGGATTCGTCCCGACCACGTGTTCTCGGACAAACCGCTCGATCTGCAGCCCGACTGGGCTGCCTTCTTCAATGCAAATCAAACAGAGAAGTTGGCGAACTCCTCCTCCAACACGACGGGCATGGCCGCGTTCCTGGAAACAGCCATTATGAACGGCAAAATTGGCGATAGCAGTGTACCGGATTTTACGGCGCCCAATGTCACAGCTGGGAATAAGAACGGCGGGATTGAGGAGACCATAGCCATGCTATTAGGCGCCGTGCTTGCGGATGGCGTAGCGCGAGGTGCATCTGGTGTTTATTCTTTTCTCAAGACCGATACTACTGCCGAATACGATGTAGTAACGCTGCTGGAACTCCCTATTGCGACTGAGAACTCTCTTCGATGGAACCCTGTTTCCGGTTTCTACTCTGTGCGCGTCAAGCTCGACTCATACGGGTATGGGTATGGGCTCCGAAACACAGCCGGTTGGGTAGCGATGATCGTCTTGCTTGTCTTCACACTGACAGTGCTTGTACATGGAGTAGTTCTAGGCTGTGCGGTTGCCAGGCAACAGTACTATGGCGGCGAGTGCTGGGAAGATGTAGCTGAGCTTATGGCATTAGCGATGAATTCGACGCCGAGCGAGAAACTCAACGGCACGGGCGCAGGTGTGGAACGATCTGAGACCTGGAGAAATGTCGTTAAGATCCGAGAGACAGATGACCAGCGTTTGGAACTGCGCTTTGTTGATAGATATGATGAGGATGGAGGCAGGGTTATCATCGGGAAGGCGTACCTATAGTCCGTACCATTTATCGGCTTTTGATGCGAGCTAAAGCGATGACTCGACCAACAGCTAGGCGTACTTGCGACTTACGGTGGCAGATTTCAATCTTTTCGGAGCTGGTATACTATAGCGTAGCCTAGGTTTTAAGGACTTTCGGCCATCATCCGAAATACAATTCGAAGTAGTGTTCGAATGGTTGAGGCGGGTTCCTTTGTATTACCTGAATGCGATTTAATCTCAACAATCAAAGTTCGAATTGCACTCTTTTGTTGTAGCTGTACTGTTGCTGCAATGATTGCTGCGATGATCGCTGTGCGATTCTGGGCTGGTGCGAGCTCGACGCGTTGCTGGTGGGATGATGGGAGGAAGCTAGCCACCCCACATAACCCGACCTGGGCACTTGCATCAATTACGTAGGCCAAAAGCTCAGACCCGAAACTACGGGAACAGGTACCGACCCAGTAAGCACTCCTTAACACCCTTCTCTCGCTTCTTCAGGTACATGCACCGATATCATGGCAGAAGAAGCGACTTCTTCGAGAACGTGGTCACTTTTTCTTAGTCCGGTACTCATCCCAAATCTCGAGCATGCAAACTTCCATGATTATGAGCAGGGGCTGGCCGCCTTAGCTAATTTCGACGGTGAGGATAATGATGACATGAACCAAGATATAGATGAGAAGATCGAGGAAGATGCGCAACGAATATGGAACGAATCTCGATTCGATCCGCGCAAAGTCGGGGAGGAGCAAGCACGTCAAAATACCTCGCAGTACCTCGAAGAGAACGAATTTCACCTCCGCGATGCGGCAGCCAATATCGAAATATTTCTCAAAGGGAGATTTCCTTGTGGCATTCGGGCTTGCGACAAGATCAAGCACCTCCGCGTCTACATCCGTTGTGAAGAGTTCCTGGAATGGGCAGGCTGGGGCGAAGGGGATTATGGAGATGGCGGACCGGAAGAAACTGGCGAAGATTTTGAATGGGAAGAGCGTCAAAACAACGTCTATGACAAGGTCTCCCGCGTGGCCAAAGCCTTTTCGCGGATCCCCTTCCCTTCGCGACCACACATCACCATGGTAATAGTGACTCCGTTTGGCCGCTTCGGTGCCGCAGGTGTCGAGGAAGAGCGGGTCTTGTTCAACTTCATCGAAGCGACACTCGAGCCCTATCATGCCCTCAAGAGTACTGGTGCGACAGTGACAGTCAGCACGATAAAAGCCGATGACGCCGAGGAAGAGCATGCATCAACGGCCTCCGCGCTAGACTTTGAAATCACATGGCTGTATGAGCTAGAAGAGCAAAAGTATAAAGAAGTACATTGGATTGTTGGTTGGACTTCTTGCTAATATACTGACGTTGAGCAGAGATGGAATGCGCGGGAGTATCCCCGCTACGCTTATCCCAACGAACCAGCACCACCCCACTATGCTACGTTACTAGCTCGCTCTCACGAGCTTCATGACCAGCGGTTAAGGGAGGGGGAAGATGAACTGCAGAGAAGAGTCGCAATATGGAGGAACACAGCGCCTGGAGACATGCACGAAGAACGTCGGCATCTCAATAAAAAGGTCGGAACGGTCGGCACCGCTCTCTAGAACTTTCTCTTCACGCATCCCTACGTCTGTGATGATATGGGCGATACGCATTCGAAAAGTTGCTTACATCAATACAGCAGCATTTTGCGCAATCATGTCGTTGGTTACCGTAGTCTTCATGGTCATCAAAGGGATAACAAGTAGATTTCAGGTTTGTTACCCTGGGGGAAGCCTACCTAGGTAGTGTAACTTTGTCTTCGGCGCAAAACATTTACGCATGCGACGTCATCTCAACAACCGAAGTCTGCACTACTCTCATGTAGCTGTAATAGTCGCTACGACTCTGCGGTACACGCGACGATGGCTGGGCAGCCACCCAGATGCTCTCAGACTGCCGCCTCTCGCTATTGGACCCTGCATGGCCCTGCTTCCGGCGCAAGTAGCCTTGGGGGCCAGCACGAGTTTCTTCTTGCCCTAAAACCCAACGAAGAATTACGGTGCGCCTTTGTCTAAGACTGTGGCCTGGGCTTGATCCGGGCTGCCCGAAACCAAGACACGACTTCGCGACTTACCTTTATAATTTATCAACCCCAGTTATAGACACTTGCGTCGTCGTAAACACGTCTTCTCTTATTACTCCCAAGAAACGATCATCGCGCAGGTGCAATGACGGGCTCACTCAAGAGAGCGCTGATCGACGACTGCGAAGATGATGTACTGGACGTCCAAGGGGCTAAGAGGAAGCGGCTCAACAGGCAAGCTTTACAGGTCGAGGAATAACGAGTTACTGACTATACACAGCGATTCAAACTCTCGGATTATGAGAAATGGGACCGACGATATCAGGCAAATTGCTACGAACCTCGAGAATGCTCTGGGAGGTGCTGCAGAATTGCGTCTCATGATCTACGGATTCCTATGCCACGAGGACGATGGTATTCACATACCGAATCTTGACCACGAATTCTTCCATGAGCACGATACAGGAGATGTGGTGCATGAGGTAGCCCTTGAAGAGGACGGTTGGCCTCCCCAACTCTCTCTGGTCGAGAAAGAAGAGATTGTAAAAGAACGGCTGGCAGCTCTGAGAGAGGTTTTCATATTTAAACCCAAGCTATGTGGTTCTCAGATGGCTCTAGAAATCACCGAGACCTTCTTCAAGACGAACGTATTCCACCTCCGCGATGCACGACATATGAGCGAATTCATCAACACGCCTTTCCCGTGTGGATCTATTCCCAGAGATCATGTCCGGAACATCGTGGTGTACGTACGATTCGAGGACTTCCTCGAAGAAGCTGGTTGGAATGTGCGTACATATGACGAAGCGCCCCAAGAACCACCCTCAGGTTTTGTCTGGAGGGAACACGGTGTATACGACAAGTTCCGACGCGATATTGCTTTCATTCGGCACATTTCGTTTGCCAAAAGCCCAAAAGTCACCTTAGTCATGGTCACACCATTCAGTCGATGGGACGCGAAAGAGCTTGACAAGGAGCGAATTACGCTTAATTTCCTAGAGGTTATATTGCCGACCTACAGAAATCTAAAGAATAGCGGATCAGAGACGAAGGTCATATCTAAAGAGATTGACTCACTGAATGAAGAAAGTTGGTACCACGACGAGAAAGAAGACGTCACTTGGCAAGCCGAGATCGCAGCCAGAATTTATGCTCAGGTAGTCGCAGTCTACAATGTTCGGTCAGTACTATACTAACGTCTTCATAGGCCCCAGTTGCCAACTATGTCTATCCCGGCGGTAAGGAAAAGACGCCGCAGCGGATCCGATTGGAAGAACATGTGAAGGAAGCTGCTACACAACGCGCAGACTAGTGGTAGCCTACGCTATGAGGCAAAGAGAGTGTCGGGAAAATGGCGAGCTCAATGAAAGCGAGGAAGCCTGGGCGGTTGTGAACAGGTGAATTGACTAGGGCCACGAAGTGAACGTCTGCATGGACATCCCTCACTCATATAAATTTGCGGGCTCACTGCTCATTCCCCAATACCTCTCATCCATTGCGCTCACTCAACTGGATCCAAATTTCAACCCAACCAAGATGCAGCACCACGGAACCCAAGCAAAGCTTACTTCACCTCTGGACGCAGATGTGTCTCCTCCGACGAACATGGGAGCATTGTCTGCTTTACCAGAGGAGCTGCTCGATGGTATCACAGGATATATGACAAGACAAAGCGACCTCGCCCATATTTCCCTCGCGTCGCACCAGCTGCGACGTATCGCGAATGAAAAGCTCTACACCAACCTTACCCTTAACGAGCGTTACTCGGGAAGCTACCACTGCGCAGTCGAACAAGTCTTCTCCTTTGCGCTTGCGCTTCTTCACCGACCTGAACTAGCATCTCGCGTACGCAAGCTATCAATGAGTCTTATAAGAGGGCAGCCAACGTCGCCTCCCAAATGGTCATCTGACGACATCGCTAAAGCACTACGAGTGATCGACGACATGGGTAGGAAAGGCACTGGTTGGGCTATCCGTGTGCCAGACTGGAAAGCGCGCTTACTTTCTGGCGACGGCAAAGCTTGTGGTGGTCTTATTCTCGCTTTACTTCCAAATCTGGTCGAGCTGGAGATAGAGATCCTTGCCACTATGCCTGACTTTCGTGTAGCGGACGACGATGTGGAGTATAACGAACGCATTGTATGGTCCCAGCAGCGTTACGCTGAGGATCCTCTTGACAAACTCTTTGGAAAGCCTGGGTACTATCTATTGGAATTTCTGAAACTCAAACGAACCGATCCGATCATGTCCTCTCGCATGAAAGGTATCATCAACGCAAGACTTAGGAACCTTGTCAACAGACCAGCTTTGGATTTATCCCAGATCTGTGGTCTCAAGACACTCGAAACTTTGCGGTTCTTCGGCAGCCGTCTTGACAAGACTTGGTGTACTCTGCCGAAGCTGCAGTGCTTAGAGGTCGCGCGAGAATGCAGGGTCCCCGCTTCATTCGTCGCTCCTGCTGTTGATACTCTTCAACTTGAGCTCGCTAGCTGTGTAGCAAAGGAAGTTGATCACAACGGGGCGCTCCATGCCGGTTTTCTTTCGGCCACATCGTTCCCACGGTTGGAACATCTCTCCATCCAGCTCACCAACTTCCACTCGTCTGGCGGCTTCTCTATTGTCAAGCCTATCCTTACACACTCCAAGAGTGCACACTCCAAGCGTGTAAAGAGTAATAGGATGATGTACTGCCTTTCCAGGGTTGCGCCTAGCCTCAAAACCCTCTCAGTGAGTGCGTACGATAGCTTCGACCAAGAGTTCTTGAAGTGGATGGGGCCGGTCCCCACATTCGCTTTCTTCAAGCAGCTGGAAACCCTTACTATACCACAAGATCTTCTTCTTGGCGATGGTTTTCCGAATCCTTGCAAGCTTCTTCCTGCTAGTATCCAGGTGATTGAGCTTCTTCACCCAAGCGTCAGGGCCTTTGCTTGGCTCGACGCGCTCAACAAAGCTCACC